GCGTCATGGGGCCAGTGGGCCATTGAGCAAGCGATCCACACTTTTGTTGTTTGAATAAAACCCCAATAAATAAATAAAAACCAAATGCCCGTCATCGTCGCCGCCGCCGCCGCCGACGAAGCGCCCGCGCGCCTCGCCGTGCGCGCCAAGCTGCTCTTTGCGCCGCCGCTGCCGCGCCGCCTCAACCCGGCGCCGCGCGCGGGACTCGTGTCGGTGCGCGACAGCGCGCTGGTCTTTGCGCTCGAGCAGCGCGTCTTTGTCGTCGACTATCCGTCCATCGTCATCTACGCGATATCGAGAGACCCGCCGTGCATCTACTGCCAGCTGGACAACATGGCCGTCGAGTCGGATCTGCCGCTGGACGGCGAGGGTAACGGCAGCGAGGACAACGGGAACGACAACGACGACGAGGAGGACCCCACTTTCGAAATGCGCATTGTTCCAGACGACCCATCAAAGCGTGAGTGTGCTTGTTTTGCTGTTGTTTCTTGGGTGCTTATCGCTGCTTCTAGTCGACGACTTGTTTTTGGCAATTACGGAATGCGCCGCCCTTCATCCCGACAAGAATGCACTTCAGGACGATGGAGGTGAGTGTTTAAAGTACAGCTTGTATTCACTGGCTTCTTTTGACTTTTGTTCTTTTTTTCAGATGATGATGAGGGATGGATGATGACTGCGGACGACTTCAATGACGAAGATATGCTTGGGGCCAGACAAGCTGCATTGGATCATTTGGAATCTGTATTTGTTGGTGGTGTTCGAAAGGAAACTGAAGATCGATTCGAAGACGCTGATGAGTCAGAACCAAAACGAGTGAAGGAGCATGAAGGAGAGCGGTGATACTAGGCATTAGTTTAGTTGGACGCGTCAGAGTGCCGGTCATTGGTGGATAAGTCACTTTGAGAAGAGTAAAATTGTTTGTTATTTATTTACATACCTGTTATAAACTATCTTAAAATCACAGTAACAACATGTCAGACGATTGGGATTCCGTCACAGTTGCGTATCGTTTCAACCAGGAACGGTCATTGATTCTGTACTGGCCCCTGCAGTAGCAGAGATGCTCCACTACCACATTGTGTTATATACAAACGCTAACATCTTGCTTCCCACACAGGTTATCAGAAAGCGTCCAGCTGGAGGCCCTACTGTAGTGAAGTCAGAGGCTGCTGTTAATGCCGCCAGAAGACAGGGTGTGGCTGTCATCACAGAAAAGAAAACCGCCGGTGGTTATGATGCAGCCAAGATGGGCAAAGTAGAAAACGAAGCTGAGGTAATTTAACTGAACCTCTTCTGAAATTCTTGGGCAGGGCTGAGCTGAGCTGCGATGGGAATGGGCATTTGGTTGGGAGGGGTTGCCAAAACACCACAGTGGCAGTTGAAGACTAATCAGCAATTTAAACATCGTAACTTGAAGTATCACGGTGGTGTATACTTATCGAAGACATGGCCGTTGTCAATATTGGGGTTTGGGACCGATGGCTTCTAAATCATTCTTTGGCCTTCCATCCTAAATATTTGTCCCTTAGGACTTCACTGTCAAAAAAGTCAATCTCTCTGTGTCCAAAGCTATTCAACAGGCACGCATGGCAAAACAAATGACGCAGAAGGACCTTGCAACCAAAATCAACGAGAAACAAACAGTTGTCAACGAATATGAATCTGGAAAAGCCGTGAATCCAAACCAGCAAATTCTGGGCAAGATGGAGCGTGTTCTGGGAGTCAAGTTGAGAGGGCAAAATATTGGAGCTGCTCTTGGTGGAAAGTAAATTGGGATTTTTTTTCAATGATGAAGGGTCAACGGCTTGCATACCAAATAAAGCATTGTTCTGATATTCCCTTCATTTAAATTACACAAAATCAATCAAAGCATGTTAGAAAACATGTTTCCGGCATACTGCATCGCCTTCACATTCGGATGGGGTACAGCTTGAAACTGAGTGTAGTTCAATTTCAAGTCCGGGCCGATGTTGATGAAAGCTCCACGATTTCCAACATTATCACAGTAATTTGGCGCCGAGAAAATGGTGATGCAGCGACCATTGTGTGCCACTTCGTATCCATCATGCTTCACTTCATGACTACGGATAATAACGTCCAACCCATTTTCTTTACAGAAGGCTTCTGTAACATCGGGACCAAATTGAACACCAACACCCCGTTTGCTGCGTCCACGTCCTGGCATCGGCTGGGGATCTGACCACAACAATTCCACCATGAGTCCCTCGCTTCCTGGTTGCCTGAACCGATCGATCTTACGAATCTAATAAGAATTGACAGGCGATTCGTCAACAGCAAATAATGAAATTTCAAGTGCATTACCTCATCCATCGTAACACCATCGCGGCTAAATAATCCACCATGAATCACCAAAATCTTTCCACCAATGAGATTACCCAACGGCACCGCATTAAAGATTTCACTGAAGAGCTTAAACATTACGTCGCTGTACTTGGCCTTAACTTCTCCTTCGAATCCATACACCTTGTTCATGTCATCTGTCTCGTGGTTTCCTCGAGATAAAAAGAGACCGTTGGGATACATCATTTTAAAAGCCAAGAGAGCGAGAATGCATTCCACCGAGAAACTTCCACGATCAACAAAATCGCCGTTAAACTGAGGAGAAAAAGTCAGAAGAATGTTGACCAAACAAACTACCACTGACCAAGTACATGTTTTCATTACTAGGAAGGCCGTTCATTTTGAAAATATTGAGCAAATCATAGAATTGGCTGCAAAAAAAAAAGAAGAATAATAAGAAAAAAAATGACCCACGGTGACAAATGAGATCGTACCCATGAATATCCCCACAAACAGTGATTTTTTTGCCTTCAGGAACCGGAATATCCACAATCGTCGGAGCATTTTCAAAGAGAGCTTTCGTTGCTAGCATAATCTTGTAAACGTATTTGCGGTGGAGTTTCTTTTGTGCTTCCATATGACTCAAAAGATCTTTGCAAAACTCTTCAGTAATTCCAGTATCCGCAAGATGCGGGCCATCGTATGATGGCTCCACGACAATACTGTCTATATCTCCAATCAACTCGATGGCGCTCTTTTTAACTTCGTTGAAACTAATGGCGTTTTCAAAAAGCCGTCTTTTGAGCTCTTTTTCACATTCGTTTAGCTTTGAACGAGCATCCGAGTCCCGAGGAGCGACTTTGACTACAGCTTTAAAGTCTTTTACAGCCTCTAATTGTAGTTATTGAAAATGGTATATATAGTTAGTTAGTTAAAGAGCAGAATGTTGGCGCTTTCGAGAATTTACCCTTCAACTTTCCCATAGCCATGTGTCCCACAGCCCGACGATAATACGCTTTAATAAACTTTGAGTCCAATGCGATGGCTGTCTCGGCATCGTGAATGGCTGCGCCATAAAACTCCGAACGAATGTAAGCTTAAAACAGAAAATACAAAACAAAGGCATCAGGACTGTAAAACCCTTGCAAAACAGAAAAGTTACCGAAAGCTCTATTTGAATAGTAGGCTGGATTTTTTGGATTGAATGCAATGGCGGTTGTGTACAGTTCAATCGCTTCGTCATACTTCTTGGCAGCGAAGCACTTATTGGCTTGGTCCTTTATCTAAACCGAATGTATGAGTCCTTTTTTTATGGGTCTTCAAAGGTACTAATTGCTGGCATTTGTGCACCTCTTCAGCCCTGGCTCTATCCGCGTCGGAGACCTCCAATGGCGCAATATCCTTTGTAACATGCGCTACTTCGGCGGCCAAATCCGCATCTTCTTCGTCAACTACAGTTACATCGCTGTTTGCCTTTTCAAGAAGGGACGACATCATTCTTTTTTTAAAAAAACAATATTTAAACGATAAAAGTAAAAAAGGCAATATATAAAATGCCGGTCTCTCTCCTCTCCCTCCCGCAAGAGCTGTTGGACGTGATCGTCTCGTACCTTCAAGCAAGAGATTTAGTGAGCTTCTGCCAAGCAGTCCCTGCTCTAAGGCGCACGGTCACTGTTCTGTGCAATGTAGCGAAATTGTTCGGCCACATTGGTAGACATTTGCACATGGTGTGGCCCAATGCCTCCATCTGGACGCTCCCCGCGATCCTAACGGATAATGATGTGGCTAATATCTCTGCCTTTGGCTCTCTTATGTCCCGTTACGACAAGGCAGTGAGCTTCAATGTTAACCCGACTCTGGCGTCAAACCAAAACCTCATCCATGTGGCCAAATTACTAGGGTCAACCATATCCTTCGATTTTCATAGAGTAGAAGTCGAGGACATATGTAGATTGGCCCAGGAGCTCAAGTACAAGACGATTGAAAAGTTTTCATGGGAGAGAGATTATGATGACCCCTTCACTGTTGAGGAACTTTCTAAAATCAAAACTGCCTTGGTTGAATTTAATCCTCGCTGCATCACTGTATGGGCCGGTGTCAAGGCCATTTTGGAGACTTTGCCGAAATGCAACCGTTTGCAATGTTTGAATGTTGACTTTGTGTCGTGTGGATGGTTCGACCTTGAGTACGACCAGGACGAGTCATTATTCAACTTCTTGGAAAAGTGCCTCGCATTGAGGGAGCTGACATTCACGTTTCCATTCCATGATGCTTTGATGGCAGTGTTTCAGGTGTTATCTCGGACAAGTATTAAGAAGTTTACCATTGCATACATGGGTCAAAATGAAGATGATGGCCACTATGGGACGACGAAAGAACAGATGGATTCTTTGTTGCGCAATGTTGGGTTCTTGTTGAAAGGAATCCAGGGTGTAAATCGTGTATATGTCAAAGAACAAGAATGCAAACAGTGATAAAGATAATCATATAATAAAACACACACGTTGCCTTACGCCTTTTGTCAAAACAAAGTGATTTCCGTGTGGCATGTCTCAAGAGGGAGAAAAATGTGAGCCTGGCATACTTAAATTTTAAAAGTGATGTGAACCAAGTGGAACATGTGGGAATTCAGAGAACCATCCGCATCTCTACAATTCACTCCCATCACACCTGTCAATCAAAAATAATAGGATCGGTGAGGGCCCCACCGGGAATTGAACCCGGGGCCTCTCGCACCCAAAGCGAGAATCATACTACTAGACCATAGGGCCCTGCTTTTTTTTGAGTATATAATATATTTCTATTACTTCAGAAATCATTTCAAACAACCACAGGTCCAACCTGTGCTGCAACACTATCAGTAGTCACTGGCAGGATACCCTCTGAGATTTTTCTGGCCAATACATCGGACCTACAGCATTATGTTGACTCTGACTCGTTGGGTTGCCCCACCAAACTAAACACGAACCTATTAAAACTGAATTAGGAAGAAGACAAGCATTCTGGAATGCACAGAAAAACATAGTAAAAATGACGAGCATGTCCTTCATAGATGAACAAACATGGTCTTCATAGATGAAGCAAGAGCTGTAGTTGGGCTGGCCAATTAGTTGCAAAAATTCAAACCATTACTGCATTGGTGCAGGATTTTTGTGAGTAAAGAAAAGAAAAAGGCCACAGAAAAGAGGAAAATTAAAACTGTCTAGACAATCAATTGGGATTGTTTAACAATGTGAACACTTTGGAAATGAGTCTCAGTCAATGGTGGCCTTGAAAAAATGTAGAGTAAAGAAGGCAAAGACAGAGACAAAGGAAAAGAAGAAAAAGAAAACTGTCTAAAAATCAATTGGAAAGGTAGTAATTGTTGTTTTTACAACTTAAACGCTTTGGAAACCACTGTGTTTTCATATTCCCTGACTTTAATTGTAAAAAAAATTAATACAACAAAAGAAGAACAAACTCAATTTCTAAAAATATAAACCAGAACTGTCTTTCAAAAATGGCCAGCTGCAAAGCTTTTTCTTTCTGAAGGCGTTACTTTCTGGATGGGAGTGTTGTTTGTTTTTCTTCTCCCACTGCTCCTGTCAAAATGGTTGAGATTGCGAGCTAAAAATAGAATCATCCGCTGAAATTCTGATATCCATATCAAGAGAGGTGTCCATGCTGTCATCATCAGAATCATCATTGTCCTGCCAGTACTTTTCAGAAGTGAAGTCGGAGCTGTCAAGTTGCTGACATTTATTAGAGCTAAACCAAAATTTGATTTTCCAGCTCGGAAAGACACAGGCAACTTCCGGAACTTGGGGTACTTGTTAAGCATAGCGTAGTAGTCCATATAGTAGTAGTACATCGTTTTTGATATGCCGATTTTGGTATTCACATGCTCCAAGAAGTGGGCTTTCCTCAAGCCTCTCGAGGGATTTAGCAATAACCAGAGCGTAACTTGAGCCAAGCATTTTGCTAGCGGTGATTTGCTTGAGGTTGAGTTTGATAGATTTTGTCAGTTGATCTTTGATCTCGTCAGTAGATAGACCACCGAAGTTGTATGTTGTCGATTGATCAAGCACCTCTTTTGAGACTGGACTCATTACTGCGCACTTGATGAGGAACGTCTTGACCTTTTGGGTGTCGGTCTTCTTGTTTGGAATTGGCAGTCCTTTCGTTTCATCTATCCCTTTCAGAATCGCACGAACATACTGGATTTTGATGCCGTTGACTCTCGACTCAAGGTGGTTATCAGGACACCGACACTGCCTTGATCCAGTGGAAGAAACGATTCGTAGTCAGTCATGGCGGTTCTCGAAAGGATGATCTTTTTTTGGAAATTGCGAGGCGCAGATGTGTGTGTGGACTTTTTGAAGTGAAATGATTGGCCATATTTTTAATAGTTATAATAGAATGTTTATTAAATGATGTAAATCATTCCAATGTCCCAATGAAGTAACTCAAAGTCAAGTATAAGTTTGTCAAAACGGCGACGTCCACCTCACACTTGTTAGAATTGCCTTTGTTCAGCTCTGGAACCCGAATCACACCAATCTCTTCCTTAAAATCATCATCCAGCTGATCAATCCCGCTCATAACCCAAATAGTGTTCTGCCCACCATCAGTCAGGTAGAAGCGCGATTTGTTGTTGAAGTCAGTTGTGAACATGTGGTTGAATATATCACGGCGAAAATCCACAAAACGATCGCGCAGGGCATGAAAAGCAGCGGGAAGGTGCTCCAAGTGGTTCTGGTCGCAGCTTCCAGGCTCAAACGCAATGAGACAGGCGGTATGCCACAAAATCAGTGATGCGCTGTTCGATATTGGGGTCTCCACGATAAAGATGAAGCTTTTCCTAAAAAACCTGATCAGAAAGGGTTAAAGATGTTCCTCACATACCCCTGTTTTCATTCGCCTGAACCCCCACTCCCGAGTCAACGCCAAGTCATGAGTTCCCCCAACTCCATCAGACTCGGTATCCCATACTACTAAATCGTCATCCTGAAGAATTCTGACCGCATTCTCACCCAGAATGGCAACCAGATCGTCGTCATGCTCTATCAACCAGTCCACCATGGACACAGCAGCATTTGGGCAACCTCGCTTGCGAGCATAATTTTTGCGAAGTTGCTCATAGTGCTTGGTAGAGCCGTTTCGGCCACGGTTCGTAGGAAGCACGCCAATCTTGGTGGAGCTCACACAGATTCTTACCCTCCAATGATGCCTTCAAGCAATAGCCGTACGCACAGATGCCAGTACCGCGTTTTAAATTTACCTGAAATTAATAAAATGGCAAACCAAGAGGGAAGTTAGCATCCCAATAAGCATAACAGGAAGAAGTAAAAACAGAATTATACCTGATATAACGCGAACCACAAAAAAATCGTCGAAAAATATAGAAAATGATAAAGAGCATATATGTTAGAATTTATTGCGGCAGCCTTGGCAATACTGTTGGTAATAATACTTCCCGCGCATTTTCTGAATCTGGCCTGTAGTTCTCCAATCCATGAATAGACATCCAGGCTTTTTACACATCTTTCTCGGTGGCGCCAAGACTCGCTTCGACCATGGGTTCCGTAGCTTAAGATAGTTTTTCCGGCCCAGCTGAGAGAGAGTGACACCGTCGTAATCGAGTGGTGTCTCCACAGGTTCCATTACAACCTGATCAAAGGAAAAGGGGGAAATCCACGGAGAATGAGCTCCTTTTATACTTGAGATCCTCTAATCAAAACAAACCGCAGCATGGGTAAGCGGCACACTGGCCGCTGGTGCTGACGGGTGAACTGAGGCCGGTGGGGTAATGGGGGGCGTCGCAAGGAAGCTAACTCCATCAGTGTTATTCTATAACACAAAGTTTAGACAGAGTAACGAAAGAAATCAATCAATTATAAATAGGCTTAGTCTGTGAGTAAGTGATCCAGTCATCCAGCCACTCGCGCTCGAATGCAAAACACTCGGTGGCAGTTCACATCTCCCGTCATCGCCTGTGTTCACCACCGCCTCAAAATGCCGGCGTTGACTCCTATACGCAAGGGCTCAACCCATGCAGGAGGCGCCCTCTTTCTATTAGAGTGTTGACGTGAACAGCAGACTGGGGAAAACGCGAACGAGTGACCAAGGGATTGATTCGCGAGCAGGGCACGTGAAGAGTCCTCGGCGACGCCCGGCATCGGATGAGCATCGCGCCATACCGGGCCTTCGCCAGCGGCTGTCCGACTCCGCATCTGCCGGTCATCGCCACTGCTGCTCGCGTGTCACTTCATCTTCTCTGCCCAACAAGTCTGATTGATTCGGACAAAAATTACATCGTGCTGTAAATTTTCTGCCGATCTGATTGGCTACTGGCTCCAATAACCAAATTCAAATTATTTATTAGATGCCGCTATGGGGATTGCCACAATTGATGGAAACAGTGCGAGCGGCACGTTGGTTTTAAGCGCTGGGAGTGAAGGGGGGGTTTACAAAAAATACAAAACTCTGAGAAATCTGTGGTGATGAATGATTCTCCCATTCCACAATCAATTAGATGATGAATGGGCTTTCTCATTCTCTCTGTTGTGGAGCTACTCTGCTTGGTGTCTTCAGCCTTGGGTCTCCACACAATACCCTACCTGTCTGCCACTAAAAAACACGTGTATTTATATTTTTTTTTTGTTTTTATTCAACTCTCTCTGCATCAATTCTAGTTTAAATTGATGACTTTTAAACCATTAGTTGGTTAGCCACGTTGGTGTCACAAGACTTGGAGAAGAGTTGATATCAAACTGTTAACAAAGTATTCAGTTGTGGGAATGTTTGCCGTTGCAGTGGTATTCTCAACTAAGGACATACCCTCAGTCACTTTGCTTCTGCTTCAAAAGCTGTGTCTTACAAATTTAAGAATGGCGAGAGGATTTGAAGGTAAGTTTCGGGCCACCAATTTCTTATTTGGATCCTCTCGGTATAATCCTTGGTCATTCCTCTTCTGGTCGCGGTTTAGTCCTCCAGCAGGTAACTGGTTGCAGAAATAGTCCTCCAACTGCAACGCGATTGCCAGTTCAGTCCCTGCACCTTGGCGAGCACGTGTTTCCCGGCGGACATCTTCTGATGCCAGATTGACAAGCTCCACCCGCATTTTTCAAAGGTATCCGCATTTTTGTTGTGAAAGTAGGCTGACAGGCGATTGACATCCCGTTCATTGATGCCCAGTTTAAAATTTTCTGCCATTTCCTTTTCAAATATCCCTCCTTTTTCTCCAAGTCTTGTCAACTCCAAGTACCAATTGTAATATTCCATCATGTATTCATAATATGACTGGGCTCCTTGGTACGCTGCCTGAACTTTAACATAAATCTCCGCCTTCTGAATATCCGCGAAATTCTTTGTATCCGTGAGTACCGTTTGATAACCTTGGTAAAGAGACAATGCCAAACAGAAAACTTTGAAAAGTGTTTCCGACAAGAATTGTTTGATTGCAGCTTTAAAAAGACTGGCAAGCAAAAACATAGGCCTCCAAGTTTGCCGTAATTTCCTGGTTTCCATAGTTCCCAACAATCGGAAATAAATATTACTTTTCCAGCAAATCAAATGCTTGAGTAACATGTTGATAAATGGCTGTTGCTCCTCCCGTCAGATTCGCCACTTTTGGTCCAATAAATTTCTTCGGGACTGCCGTAGAATTCACAGCACGTTTCAAGTCTTCTTTCCAGTCAGTCAAATAAACTAATAACAGGGGCCCATTGGCGGACAATAATGAGTTGGATTTGCGGGACATATGAATCAATAGTGATTCCGTAATAAATAT